CCAGTCCTCTCTACATCTCTGGAACTCAGGACTCTTACCCAACTGGCAGTTTTTTTCCGCGAAGCTTCCTGTAAAAACACAGGGATAGTACACAATTTTCGCAACCCCTCTCACACTATCCATATAACTTGTCATCAGATAAGACTATCAGTTTTATGGGTCACACATCCATTAACACCGAGATACACATACATTCTTGTAGGGTAAAACACAATATAATAACAATATAATAGCACATCATAAAAGCACAATATCAATTCTATGTATACATGCAATGATAATTAATTCACATTAGTACATACTCATAATTTCGATGGTACTGATAGTATAACAGTAATTAAATGCAGATTTTTGCATCACAACTCATACGGATTATACAAATGCAAATATCTAAGTTCTGACATATTCAAACAGATTTTCCTAATCTTGCGTACATTAATCATCTCTTATTCCAATACAAATATGCGCAACTCTACACAACATAACTAAAGTTGCTGGTTATTACAAGTAACGTATATTGTTGGCTTCTGTTAGTCTTGAGAGGCGATGGAAATGCGCCCATGAAAGGTGTCCCAGTTTGTAGTTGTGCAGCGTCTTCTGTGGCCATAAAGCCCCACACGGGAGTGGCAATCCTTGCTGCAGTTGCTGCACTTGAAGATTAAGCCAGGTCTTGTTTGGAACTGCATCCTCTTCCTCTGAGATCTTTTCTCATCAGCCAGCTGTCGTAACTTTTCCTCGCTTGCTTTTATACCTGTGAACAGAGCATGTTGCCAGCTGGACTTGTCGAGGATAAGCTCTTCCCAAGTGTTGATCTCGATCCCATGAGCTTTCATGTCGTGCTTGCAGACAACCTTGAAGTGAAGGTATAACGACTTATAATATTAAGGCTGCTGAGCAATCGATATAACCCTTCGTAATTCAAATTAAGTCTCAAACAAGTACATAAATGAATAATACTAATATCAGTACCTTAGTCCTACCTTGTGGACACGGTACTAACATGAGTCTATGTGTGTTACTGGAGCACCTGGGTGTGATTCACACCCGGCTCTTTTTTTTTTTAGCCTAATATTAAAAATTTTGAACATGTTTTTTGATATATTATTATATTGAGTAGTCCTCTTATTTAATAATGAAATAATCGCAAATCGTTGTAGAAATAGTGGTAAAATCTCGTTTACCTTTCTTATCCGATATTTTTGTATTGATCGTCCGCCATATAAGTTCAAATAATGCCTACTTCCGTTCTCAGCCTCGTTTGTTTATATGTCATATAAGGACGTTAATGACTTATTTGGAAGCGTAAACAGATCGTAGTAAAATATATGGCGCGGTTTTAGTCGGACATTTTGGGCATTAAAAGTAAATACGGTTTACCGGTGACTTTGAAATTCCACTAAGAAGCAATTATTTTCACAACAAAACCGTATTCTGCAATTTATGCAATTATCCATTCCCCATCTTCCAGCGTTATATCATTCAACAACTAATACCATAGCGTAGAATATCCATATATAGTCTTGCAAGCCTAATGTAGAAAAGGAGTCATGGCGAGATTCTCGTGTTATCTGTAATGGTGGACACGGTGAGGTTAGCAAAACTATGCCAATTTATTTTACCGTGTGAGAGCTTGATAAATTCAAAATGAGCCAAACTTCTTTGTCAAAATGATTATACTTAATTAGTAGAATTCTAAACTATTTGTGTTTCTGACTTAAGTGAGGATTTATTTTTTGTCCATTACATGATATCGGATCAGTTCGTAGCCTCAACCACAACAAAACAAGTTGAGGCTACGACATCGAAGCTAATAAATGAACACTACAAAGTAATTCTACATACTACAATTCCAATAATTGAGGAAAACATAAGACTAGTACTTACAATTGCAGTGTTGCAATGCGCGGCCAAATAGCGAGCAAATATCCACTAAACTTAGAAGCTTCGTTCCCGCATTTTTTTCCCGGAGTAATGTACAGCGACTTCTCTTTACGGCTGTCTGGTACTTACTGACTTAAATCTGAGAGAGACAGAGAGACAGTTATACTTCAAATCTAGGATTTAGGCCCACCCCCTAGCTGAATCCGATTGGGCGTGGAGACTAAACCCTTCAACTAAATTGTCAGTGTCCTGTCTGTCTCTGCGATGGTGGTAGACCACTCCCAGTTATAACTGAGTTTCCTGGTGACCTACATACTAGCTCACACTTTTGGGATGATGACTCATACATCAGGCATGTAGAACTAGCCCCGCGCCGTATGGCTGGCGGAACGTGACAATATGTATTGTTATCGTTAATATCGATATTCTTCTTCTTCTTCTTCTTCTTCTTCTTCTTCTTCTTCTTCTTCTTCTTCTTCTTCTTCTTAGTTGAAGTAGTAGTATAAGTTGTAATAGTAGTAGTAATAGTGGTGTAGTAGGAGTAGTAGTTACAGTTGCAGTATTATTTATGCACTTGTAATGATTTATAAACATGTGAACTATCCCTAAAATTCATATGTGAAGGATACAGTCCCCCCTTTGTATCTTTTTAAGGAAAATGCATGAATATTGCATGCACGTATATAAATGATAAAAACTATAAAATAAATCAACATATATTTATAAATATGAAGATACTTTGCAGGATGTGGTGTCATCAACTTTTTCTGAAAAAATAATTGAGTAACTAGTTATTATTAATGTTGATAGTTGTTACAAGCAAGTTGTACATTTTAAGGGAACAATCCTGTTATTGGAATAAAAACATAATTATATTTCCCATTCTTTTGGTTGTAAAGAATTATTCTGGTAATTTAAAAGTTGGTATATTACATAACCAATTACGTAATGCGGTTATGTTTTTTTTTACTCTATTCAGAAAAATAAATTGATTCCCGGTTAAACTTCTTTCATGCCTCTTTAAATTGATCGATCCATGTTCCTTGATAAGCTATATTTTGATGTTCGCATAAATAAATCTTGCGAACGTTGAGGTCATGAATCATTCTATTCAATGCTAAAATGCATAAATGTGTGTATTGTAGGCTATCTCTTTGGTTTATCATCAGAATTGACATAATACAAATAGTGTGCAGAATAGATAAACTCGCAAAAAGCTGGACATTATTAAACTCATTTCAGAAATTAAATATTAAATAATTACCCATTTAAGATCCTCTATATACTGCACCATTTCGCAAACAGCAACCAAAAATACAGACAATAAATAAAATAAAATAAAATGAAATAAAATAAAATATACGAATCTTATTATTCATCGAATACACTGAATTATACTCCTAAACACATGAAGAGAATCTACATGTCACAAGAGAGTAGATGATATTTTCCATTACATCAAAACATTAAAAACCTTGGAGTTCATTTTTTTCTCTTCATGCTGGAGATTGAAGAAGGAACGATAACCCAGGTTTCTTAAGCTGCATCAATTTTCGCGATTCAAGACAGATACGGTGACGGAAGCAATTACAAGAGGATACGAAAAAATAAATAAAGTAATAATTTAAAGAATAGAAAATGCGCACATTACTTTGTTCTAGTCCAAAAAATAATTTTGGAGGGATAAAAAATATTTATTACCAGGACTGATCATCAAACGTCAAAGATATTAATTTTTAAATACTCTGAGAAAACGAAAACTCAGCTCCCTTTAGAAATATAACTTGTATTACCATGTTTTAGTAAGGGAATCTTCATTTAGATTAAGAAACAAAAATATATACATATAATCACAATTATCTTTTCAAAAATAAAATTTATAATCTATTATATTTGTCTTTAAAGAATTCAAATGGATCAAAGTATACTATATACACGTTTATAAGAATGCTAATGTACTCCTGCAAAAGCGCTTGCATAACCCCTATAGCGGGCATCACAAACGCGAAGCTATTTTTGCCGTGTTATTTTTGCATTACTTCGAGTTCCGTGCTTTTTGATTAATGGTTAAGTTACACATCTTGGAATACATTAAGTTTTATGTATATATTATATTATATTATGTATGCATTTATATATATATATATATATATATATATATATATATATAAATATATATAAATTTATATTAATATATTTATATATATATATATATATATATATATAAATATATATATATATATATAAATATAAATACATATATATATATATATACATACATAAATATATATATATATATATATATATATATATATATATATATATATATATATATATATATAAATGCATACATAAATATAATATAATATAATATAATATAATATAATATAATATAATATAATATAATATAATATAATATAATATAATATAATATAATATAATATAATATAATATAATATAATATAATATAATATAATGGATATTGTTTAGTTTTATTATGGTGTAAATTAAATCAAAATAAGTTTCCTTGCTGTTGATAGACCTAAAATTATTTAAAACGTGCCCTGTTTTTCGATCAGAACATATTCGGCCTCTCATGTAGCATTTATTTGTATAGAAATTATGCCATACAAAATTGTAAGTGTTACCAAGCTATAATAGTTATTAATTTTGATTACAAATATAATAGACTTGCCTTTAACATTATCCGAAGATGCGATATCATTTCCAGTGAACAATTTCATTATGTTTATTTTTGCAATGGTTAGATTCTCACTCTTATTTTGATACTATGTATTAATCTACGATTTTTTAATAAATAATTAGCTGGATATTTGACTGTACACTTAAATTTCACCATCATCTACAAATCTTTATATATATATATATATATATATATATATATATATATATATATATATATATATATATATATATATATATATATACACACACACAAACATTCATTAGTAAATGTTTGTTTATTTGCTTCATACTCTATCTAAAATGTCGTGATGTATGTTTTAGTTATATGTGTTATGTTTGAAAATCATGGTGACTTAATGGTAGGTATAGTTGTTAAAATGATGGGTTTGTACCATTTTTGTAAGAATTTGTTATGACTCGGCCGAGTTTCGAACCTGCAGCCACCCGCATCCGAGGCTGATGCCCTAACCACTTAGGCCAACGCTGCAGTCTAGTCATATAATCAGCAAAGTACTAATTTGAGAAAGTGAAACTTTGGTACAACTTAAGTTTGTTAAAAATCCTGATTTGGAACAGAATCTTTGCTTATTTAATTGCTTCTTTAGACATCATACGATGAAAGGAAGGTTGTCAGCACCGAGCATTGATTTTATATAAATACAGAAGACACATAAGGAACAGATTAAAGTCAGAAACAATCAGCAGGTTAAAGTTTCTACAACTAGAGATGAAACTTTTTAAGATCTGGATTTCAAGAGCTCTAACAGATTGGTGCAGGTAGAAAGAGAGACAGATATTAAAGTGTTTGGATATATTGAACTATAACTGTTTCCTTCTCCCCCAGTCTTTTTGGCCTATTTCCACTATGTCTCTGGGACAAAGTGTTTGCTCGCTCCATCAGATAAAATTCCTGGCAGCTTCTCTGTATATAACACATATATTACACAGTTCCTGAAAAGAACTTCAACAACATACTTTCTGCAGTTTAGAAGTGTAAAAAATGACTTCGATCTGGAGAGCATATATATATATATATATATATATATATATATATATATATATATATATATATATATATATATATATATATATATATAAGATCATACTGATTTCAGTAATTTCAGTTTAATTTATTGGATAATCGTCAAAAGTATTAGCAATTCGATGGAACAGTTGATTGGGGTTGAACTAATCCGTTGTAGTAAAAATCCTTTTTTACACTTGGTAAACTATTTCGCAATAACTGACAAAAATGACAAGTCTGATTGCACAGTGCAAGTGATCATATTTGTCACATTTTGTTTCATGATATTTTACGAAATCTAATTTCATAACAAACTAAATGATGACAAGTCAAGTATCTTCAGCAAATAATATCAATGGCTAATTATCACAGTTATTTTTTTACTAACAGTTCTAATAGATGGATATGACTATTTCAGGAAAAAAACAAGCACCATAATAGAGCTTAGCCAGGAATGTGGCTTGAAAAATTCAATACAAGTATCAATTGTTTCGCTGAATATTTGTTAACATTATCCGCAACCTATCATCAGTAGCATTTTATAATTGGCAGGGGGAGAATGGTGTTACCGGTATAGCGGTTTACTGCGGTACTTTCTTGTTATTTTATAATTGGCAGGGGGAGAATGGTGTTACCGGTATAGCGGTTTACTGCGGTACTTTCTTGTTATTTTATAATTGGCAGGGGGAGAATGGTGTTACCGGTATAGCGGTTTACTGCGGTACTTTCTTGTTATTTTATAATTGGCAGGGGGAGAATGGTGTTACCGGTATAGCGGTTTACTGCGGTACTTTCTTGTTTTGATACTTATTAAGGTACATTCGCACTAAATGGGAACTGCAGTAGTTTCCGTACCTAAGTAATGTTCGGAAATTTGCCAGGAATCTTGTTATGAATTTATAAATATTAACTTAATGTTTTCATTTTAGGGATAAAAGATTTAAAAACATTTATCATTTTTCTGAAACATTAGAATTTGACACAAATTAATTTTTAACATTATACAAAAGTAGTTTTGCTACTTTCGTAACATGTCTGACAGGAAGAGCGTATAGCAACTGGCTTGAAAAAATGGTAATTTCTTAAATATATTCGGGCCAAATGCAACTTTTGAACAAATTCGCGTTTTACAAATTTAAATTTTTAATTATTCTTAGTGTATGTTATTGCGTGGAGAACACCCATTTCTTTTTTTAAGACTGCAGATAATACAAAGATTTTAAAGGCAACATTTACTTTAAGCAATTTCTCAAGTCCACGATATTTTTTGTTGATGAGTACGCTTCTTTGTGTTTACTGTTTCACTCATGAATAACTTGCCCATGTATCAACCCAAATATTTCCTGCCTATTTTACCAATATTAGATATGTAGTCTTCAGAGTAAACACTTTTTAAATTTATAAACCAGCAAAATATCATCAAAGGGTGACGTATAAAACGTAAGTGTAGTCATAGCTATATAGCATGTTTTCAGACTACAACATTTAGAACAATTAATACAGACATCGTAAATTATTGTATTAACATGTACTAACCATTCATCTTTCAGGATATTGGGGTTATATGCAAATTTGTTCTGTGCATGTATATTTTCTTTAATCTTATCTTAATAACATAATAATGATCATAAATAATTGTTGTTGTTGTTGTTGTTGTTGTTGTTGTTGTTGGGCTTAACGCCATTTTTCAACAACGATAGGCTATTCATGGCGGCCAGTATTAATGGTGGAGGAAGAAACCGGGAAATCACCGGAAAGAACCACCGACCCACGAGAAGCTACTGGCAAGCTTTCTCACATATCCACATTCGCCGAATCCTAGACTCGAACACACCCAGACAGAGGTGAGATGGCAGTGATCCGTAACGGACAGCACTTTAGAGCACTCGGCCACTCGTGGCCCCGATCATAAATAATGCTTCTGCATTTAAACCGACGGAAACTTTCAGCGACGCTTCTGGCCCCTGTCTTAACATGTTAAATCTTAGATGTCGAATGAAGCTACAGTATACCTAATCACTTTTAAATTGCCCGAAAATGTTATATAGCTGATAATTGAAACTAAATTGGGATTGGTTTGGTTAGCCTGCAGTTGACACACAGTGAAAATATTGTTCTAAATTTCTTTTGTAAAAGGTGTAAGTGTTGGACTGCAAGAAGGTATGCGCCATTACATTAACTCCTAATGGTCGAATTTAATCATAAATGTACCTTTTGATCGGAAATCACAGGGTGGGTGGGTACGTGCTTGTTCTTCTTCTTCTTAGTATTATTATTATTAGAGTGTAAGGCTTTGATATAGATAAAACATCATATCTTATGACTTGGAATCATGGTACCAAAAGTAGTCCGTATCAAATGTATAGATGTGTATACATTCCGGATCAGCATCACATGACCATTTACATCCAATCAAAACGTAGAAAGCGCGGTTCGTCATTTAGATGTTGTCTTATTTAGCTAACAGTTATATATTCCGTACAAATTATCAATAAACAATAGCATGTGTTTTTGACGTGATCGATGAATGCTGTCAAATGTGTATATTAAGGGTCACTTTTTTACATGAATGAATACAAAAGCCTGTGTTTGCACTATTCCCTTTCTGTGTATATTTACATGAACATATTTGTGTGTAAATTTGCAACGCATATGTTATTTATTATGAAGCCGGAGGTACGCTGTTCTGTATCTAATTTTGCATGGATGATATCAACTTTATGTATGCAATGTACAGGTTTGGCATGAATGAAGTGACGTATAGAATTTTACCTAAGTTCATGCAAATAACCGTATCGTTAAAATCTAGCCATCGTTTAGTATTAAGACATGAAGATCATGTTTTTCTATGAAAATGTTCATATATGTGACACCCTGATATGCCTACACCACTCAACTCCGGATTAATACTATGAGTAATATAGTTCGCATAGATCAATGTGAATGGTTATTTTCACAAGGTTGTCGTGGCCATCAAACCTGACGCAACACTACATCCCTCTAAGCTTTGATAATGCTTGCATGTATAAGTACATCAATATATCTACATACTAAGTTGTGTTTCGTATCTAAAAAGGAACGAACGAACCAAATGAAAAACAACTTTAACATAGAAGTTAAAATATGATTGATAATGTTGGATGTAACAAGATATATGGACGAATGATTTTACGGCCAGATCTATACGTGGACATAAACGTGAAAACTGCGCTGAGTTTCCACTAGAGTTTGGGCTGACAATTATTGCTACATTTTTATTTTATCGCAAATATAAGAATCTTGCATGATTAAATATTTTATTTTAAAAATCCATATTTCTAAAGAAATTTATGTTCTCAATCCTTACATCACCCCTTTAGAGTAAGATTTTTTTTGGAAAAGACTAATTAGTATATAACGATCAATTAATGTACCTTGCTGATTTTGATGGTCCTATTTAATTTTTTCAACAATAAAAACCATGAACGCAAGAACTTACTTAATGAAATTATACTTATCATATGTCTATTAAGTGAAACATATTATCTTGTTGTTATATATGTTTGGAAAATGGGTCCTAAATATAGTAGAAAGACATCAAACTGTAATTGCATTTTACCCGCAATGTATAACGTATTGTATGCAGGCACTAAAAGGAAAGATTTGACAGCTACATTGTCCTATATTAGAAAGTGTTAATCTGGACGAAGTGTAGATAAATAAAGCTGTTTTTACGACATCTTTTGACTAACAAAAAACCCCAAAAATTATATATGACCATTTTTCATTTTTTTTCACACACACACACACACACACACACACACACACACACACACACACACACACACACACACACACACACACATTTTCAGGTTAAGCAATCTAGAATCAGATAATACATAAGAATCAGATTACAGAGAAATGTTTGATTAAATTGTTCTTAGATATATCTAGATAAAAACAGTGACAATAGAAATTGCCTATAAAAAGCAAGGGCTGCACTTTACATATTGAGTCAGAAAAATTGAAGGGACCATGATCCACCACAAATGATACAAAGATCCGTAATTATTTATGTCATGGAAAATGAGTATTACTTTGTATTTCACAGCTAATGTTTTCTACCTTGGAACCAGCATGGGTTACATGCCATGGTGTGTCCTTGAAAAATGCACTTTATTTTATTGCCTCGGTGCAACTTTCCTGCGTTGCTGTACTGTATAGCACCAAACCAGCCCCCAAACCCATACATCAAGTGGTCAGGTTTAATGTACTCGAAAGCAACTAAAGCGAAAGTAGTATTAAAAAAACTCCTAATATACCAAAGTTCCATTTAGATAAATATTTATATTCGTTCCTGGGGTTTTCCTTCTGTCATAGATGGTCTTCTTCCATCATATTAAAACCCATCGAATCTGAAAAAGGAGAACAAGTTTAAATCTTAAATTTAAGTTTGACGCGTTGAATCTCTATACTCCGGTCTCAAAA